AACGACAAAAAGTGTATCAAGCTCTATTGAAAACAATGCAACAATACCTCCACAATGGCAGTGTGAAAAATTTTCCATTTACGATATCCCAGTGAATATCATTATAAATTATAAACGTCATTCACAGGAAAGATATGAATAAAACTTACCAGAATGTTTATCAAGGATATTTTGAGCTAAATTAACTTCATTGGAACTCAGTAAAGCAATACAGATATTTCTCCATGTTATATCAGGAATATTATGACAATGTTGAGCTACAGCATCAATGTAATTTGAAGGACTGGCCTCATTCTCTTCCACGCTCTGCTTAATACCAACAACAATATCTTGGGCCATGTTAGGAAGATAACAAATAAAGTGTTCCCAATTACCAGAAGTAAACTTTGAGCTACTCAACAACTCAACCAATTCCTCTTTTGTTGGCTGGTCTGTGCATAAAATAAACTATAATGGAAGAGCTTTAATTCATTTTACCTGTAAGAGTGGGTCCAGGATTAAGTTCCACATTTCCCGATATGAAGAGAAGGAGAGCAATCAGAATGAAAATAGATAAAATCGAGAATATGAGACATGGTCTTCCTTCTCCTTTGGTTTTACAGTAGTCTGAGTAGATGCTACCAGTAGCACTGTCGCGGGATTCTGACAACTGGCAACAGTTCCACGTGCCTATTCTAGCCCTCCACTGGCACAGATCAATCATTGGTTTGGTTTATGTTGCTTTTTGCTTTGCTTTTGTGAGCAGTTCTGGAGGCGTATTAAATTCTGCGGTTTAAGATTGAAAAGGTGGGGCCCTTGCAAGGTAGGAGGAGCTCCAGCTTGTTCAATCAATTCAAGATGGAGCCAGTGGAGGAGAAAACTGCTGCTGAATATTTAGATAAGCTTGGAGCAGTGTTTCATTATGATTGTTATACAGAAAAAAAACCAGAAGGTATCATATTACTACTTACTACAAACTTCATTGTTAGATTTTGGCAGGTTGTCATCAATATGCAGAGTATCTTATTGTAGCAAAGAAGGATCCTTCAAAAGCATTTGAAGTATTTAACAACTGCTGTCATCAAATGAAGTTCTCTGAGAGTTGCCTTGCACTGGGTAACATGTACTTGACTGGAAATGGTTAGTGTGAATATATCCAGTAACACAAAACAATGAAAACAGTCAGCATACATGATCGAGTTACATGTACATGCATGTAATATACACCACATGTATGTGTGCATACATTGCTGTGCATGTGCATGTAGATAGGGTAGATCTAAAATAAACTGGTTTGGGTTAGTTAATCTGGTTTGTACATTAGTGCGTTAGTGTTAATTTGACAGGTTGACTGTTGTGGTCTCCATTATATAAATTAGATCTAGTGGTGCCGTGAATACCGTGCCATTGCATTATTACTGGTATTCAAAAATTGACAGATTTACTGGAAATGCCCAGCCCTATGTTTATCTTCAATGCAATTTGCATTACTTGTAGGACCTCATCCTAAAGAATTTTCGAAAGCTCTACAGTTGTTTGATACAGCATGTGAACTAGGATCAATGGGTGGCTGCAATAACAGTGGACTAGTCCATCAAAATGGGTACGAAGGACAACCACCAGACTACCAAAAAGCATTGCAATGCTTCCACAGATCCTGTGAAGGAGGTTTCAAAAATGGCTGCTTCAATGAGAGTATTATTTATCTGCAGGGAAAAGAAAAGGTCCCCAAGGATATGTCGAAAGCATTAGAGTATTCGCTGAAGAGTTGTGAGCTGGGTCATCCATGGGGCTGTGCTAATGCTAGCCGTATGTTAAAACTGGGAGATGGTGGACTAGAGAGAAATGAGAAAAGGGCAGAAGAGCTATTGAAGAAAGCAAAACAGCATAAGTGTTAGATCTATGTTTATGTGCATGTATGTATAGTATATTGTTGTTTGTAGAATAATAGTAACAATTTAATTTTGATAAGTATTGTCAGCTGCTTAGCTGAGTATTAAGTTTATAATAAACAAAAATTTTGTTATTGGCCTCACCTTACTATGTGTAATTGTGTATAGTCTAAAGTGGCCCTGCCATGAGACTACACTGTATGTGTCGAAAAGTGCTATAGGAGAATGGGTCTGGCTAAGCAAGACTAACTTATCCTAGCTCTACGCTACTCCATTTTGCTTTATAAATGGTAGAAAATTTTAAAAAAGCAACAGTGTTCATGTTCCTATCAGTTATAATCAGCTACATAATGTGTCTAGTATTCTGTGTATCTTCAGCCATGTCTTCATTTCCATCCTCCAATTTCCTATGCGCTGCACTCATTAATAAATTTGAATGAAATTGAATTGGATTTTCTTCAGAGTCAATTATCGATCGTATCAAACTGATGTTACTTGATATATCGCCTCTTGATGTAGATATGGGTTGAGGTCGAGTAGCGGAAAATGGCTTTACTTTGCCTGTTGTTGAAATTAATAAGTCTACAATAGAATTTGTGAGAACATTTTCCTCCTTGTTAAGCAGTATGTCTAGTACAGTAAAACCCTTATCATTAGTTTTGTTAATGTTAGCTCCAGCTTGAATGAGTGTCTCAACAATTTCAATGTGTCCACATGAAGCTGCTATCATCAATGGAGTTATACCACCTGCTAATGGAGTATCTGGACTCATGCCAACTTCAAATAACATACTAACTAATAATCCTAAATCTCCTTCTACAGCAGCTATTAATAGCTCTTTCTCATTTATTATACTTGTTATTTTGTCTGATAGCAAATTTATCACTGAAGAACAACCATTATAACAAGCAGTAACAAAAGCACGTGTGTAGTGCTCCTGGGAGACTTCAAATTTCTTCATGATGATCTCCACAGCATCAGGATTACAATAAATAGCTGCTAGTACTACTGAATGAACAGTGACATTTTTGATTTGGTGCATTAGATTAGGATGACTGTGAAGTAATCGTTCCATAATATTCAAATAATTTGGTGTTTCATAGCCTTTTTGTAAGACATATGCAAGTGCAGTCCTTCCATCATTGCGTTTGATGCCAAGATCAATATCTTCATTTAGTAGAAGTTCAACAACACTGAAATGACCATTGTTGCAAGCAAGCATCAAAGCAGTCCATCCATCTCTATCTTGTATGTTAATATTTGGATGCTTACTTAATAATAGGTTAACAACCTGACAATGCCCATTTGCACAAGCAATCATTAAAGCAGTCCACCCCTTTTCTTTGACTTGAGTGTTAATATCTAGCTCCTCATCTAGTAGGAGTTGAACAACTTGATGATGTCCATTAAGGCAAGCCAGCATCAAAGAAGTCCATCCATCTTTGCTCTTAGTATTTATAACAATTTTAGATCCATTGTTATCTTGATCATCAATAGCTCTGATGTTACTGAGTAAGATTTCAATGACCTGATAATGTCCATAATAACAAGCAAGACTAAAAGCGTTCCATCCTTCTTTATATTCCTTACTAATAATATCAGCATTCCTTCTAAGTAAAAGGTCCACAATTATGTGATATCCTTTACAACAACTTAACATCAAAGCTGTCCATCCATCATTAGTACCAATTCTAATATTGGGATTCGCACAAAGCAAAACTTCAACAACTTGGCAATGTCCATTATCACAAGCAATAAACAGTGCTGTTTCTCCTTTATCATTTTGAATATCAACATCTGGATTCTTAGTGAGTAGAAGTTTAACAACATCACAATGTCCATCTAGACAGGCAAACATTAAAGCAGTCCATCCTTCTGATTCACAGACATTAATATCAGGGCGATTTCTCAGTAAGAGCTCAACAATTTGAGTGTTTCCATAATAAGAAGCAATCATCAAAGCAGTGACTCCTTTATTATTTCGAATATTGACATCTGGGCTCTTACTTAGCAGGATATCCACAGCTTGGTGATGTTTACCACTGGAAGCAAGTGTTAATGCAGTGTTTCCTGAACTGTTTCGATAGTTAATATTTATGTCAAACTGCATAAGTAGTAATACTATTTTCTTATACTCTTCATCTTGGTCGCTTATACTAATAACATGTAGCAGTGATTCATCGAAACTAAAGTTAACATCTTCAACTTCATTACTGATGGTTTCATTGTTAATGGTAAATTGAATTATACCAAAGTGACACATTAACTGAGCTTTGTATTTTGCTTTGACCATAAGAGAATGGATGAATTTGTAAGAGGCAACCAAAAAATGAATCTCTATTGATCCTGTTCGCATTTTTTTAATTGTAAGATACCTTGCTTCTTCAGGGAAAAAGTATTCCATCAATTTTTGAAGATTTTTTATGGTTCTATCTGTCCATTTTCCTGAAAGCTTCAAAACAACTTTAGGATCAGTTTTAGAGCCCTCTTCAGTCAAAGCAGCTTCAATACTAGTCATTACTTCACTAATCTTAGCAGAATCTGTAAAACTTTCTAAACATTCAGTATACTCATGATACTTTAACAACACATTCTGATCATTGATAGGGTACTCTTCCATGAGGTCAGATAATGGATCAATACACAAGAAGTTATAATGAGGTTGCAGGACATTAAAAATTTCATCGACTGTTGTACCATCATGAACAAGACCAGTCACTTCATAACTTTCTTCTATCCAACGGGCAATATCAATCACATCATATTCTTTACTGATTGCATAAAACTTTCTAATATCTCTCACTAGTCCTGGAAACTTTTTGAGGAGATTCTGAAGTTGTAAAGATATTGTATGATCAGATCTGAACTCGATTTCTGTAGCAGATGAATGTTTCATTTTTTGGTGTATCAATAGTGTAAATGATACACGATGGTCTTTGAACACCTCCTGTTGCAAATCTTCAGCAAGAGCAAGTGCTTCATCTCTAGCTGGTCCTTCTGCAATGGCAAGACATTTTAAAAATAACTGACATTTTTCTTCGAGTATAGAAGCATCTTCTGTGTGCACAGAAATTAGAGACAAAAAATCCAGCTCTATTTTTTCAAAGGTAGGCATGTTTCGAACTTCTCTATTAATTAGACCTTCACTGTACATTTTGTCAGCTATTTTTTGGAGGCAATTCTCTGTTGCTTCCTTCAACTTGCAATAGTGACTTCTCATTACATCCTTTATTGTTTTACATGTGCTTTTACTAGTTCCTGTATATGAAACAAAATTAGTAAGATTAAATATGTTACAATTCTTACTAGAATGCTTTTCAAAGATTTGTCGAGCTAAAGTAACTTCATTGGAACTCAGTAAAGCAATACAGATACTTCTCCATGTTATATCAGGAATATTTCGACAATGTTGAGCTACAGCATTAATGCCGTTAGGACTGACCTCGTTCTCCTTCACATTTTGCTTAATACCAACAATGATATCTTGTGTCACGTTAGGAAGATAACAAATAAACTGTTCCCAAGTACCAGCAATAAACTTTGAACTACTCAATAACTCAACCAATTCCTCTTTTGTTGGCTGGTCTGTGCATAAAATAAACTATAATGGAAGAGCTTTAATTCATTTTACCTGTAAGAGTGGGTCCAGGATTAAGTTCTACATCTCCTGATATGAAGAGGAGAGCAATCAAAGTGAAAATAGATAAAATGATTGTAGAATTCGAATTAGATCTACGTAATGTTCCGCTGGATTCTTTGGCTATACCAGTAGGATAGTCACACAATTTTGACCACTGGCAACAGCCCCAGGAACCTATTCTAGCTCTCCACTGACACAGATCAATCATACTAAAACGAGACACCTACGGTGCATGGCCTCGCCCCTATAGCTGCTATGGTGCATGCCCGCACTTCAATAACTGTTTGATTATCAGCATGAAGAGAGTCTGCTCAACACTAGCTTCCTACAGTTGCACTTGCTCTTGAATACCTGCAGAAGTAGCAGCACTGCAGCACATACATGCAAGCAGCTCCAGCCCCTCCCATGCATGTAGATTGAAAGGTGTGGCATTTCATGAGTGGCAGCAAGAAGACCATGTGAGAAAGAAGCTTCACTTTTTCTTTACTAATCAGCAATATATGCAGGGGCGTAGCTGAGGTAGGGCCTGAGGGGGCCTGGGCCCTACCATCAAAGTGGCCTTATAATTATATTCATAACCCAAAAGGTTATATTCATTGTTCTTACAATAACAAAAGGGGATGGCTGATAACCACAGCTCTTTTAAAGCTATATACAATGATAATTTCACTCTGATTTTGCTCAGCTTGCAGGAAAATGCCTCCATTTTGTTACGTAAAAAGGGTGTGGCCAAAATCGCGGCGCGCTTCGCGCGCCATTTTGTTTCCTTGCCCTACCGTCACCCAAGGTCCAGCTACGCCCCTGAATA